TACGTATGATTACATGATACATAAATAATGATGATAATCTGAAAAAAAAATTAATTTTTGATTATAAATCGAAGAAAAAAAATTGAATCAATCTACACTTGGGTACTCTTAATTGTGAAGGGAACACTTTATTCGTTTAACCAACTTACTTTTTAAATTTTGAACCTAAATTTTGATGTCCATCCGTATGACAAAAATTATAGGCACCCTTTTTTGGGGGTTTCTTACAAATTTGGTAATTTATTTATGTGGGGGTATTTGGAGAAAATTTTTTTTCACGTTTTTTTTAAATTAAAATAAATTATCTTATCTAAAATCAAATCAATCTGATTTAGTCTCTCGCTTTTTTTGAACCGGTTGTGAACTTAAATCCATCATAAACACCTAAATTTAGAAATTGGACAAAGAAAAAGCCTTTTCGATGAGGAAAAAAAAATATGCATGACACGAATTTTGTCAAAATTACGAAATATTTTAAGTAATTTCGATTTTTAAAGAACAATACATATATCAAAGTTAGTTACACTAGATCTTATTATTTTGGTTGCGTGAGAAAGAGATCTTTTTTAAAAGTTTTGTAAGTTTTAGGAAATTATTTTGTATGGGGTGATTATATTGTATTTTTTCGACATTGACACACATTCACACGGAATTTTACTCAGCTAAAATCTCAGGAGTTTATCGCCGAATTTCGTAATCCTGAATTTAAAATTGAAAGCACTTTTGTTTGGCGTAACGAAAAAAATTTTTATTCCCGTCAATTTGAAATTTCATTGATTATTTTGAACGCACATTTTCAAAATTGTAATTTTAATTGGATCGAATCGATGAAAGGAACCTTTTTATTTGTAATTTTATTATTTATTTATGTTTACATATAAAGTAGAAAAAAAGTAACAAATGATTTTTTTTTCTTCTCACAATATCATCGCACAAAAATACTCATTCGATAATAGATTAACAAAGACAATCATAACTATTATGTAAATTTAAAAAAAAAATTATCAAAAAGATCTTATCAAATCAATCTTATTGCATGTAATGAAACGTGAAATTTAATTTTAAAAAGGAAATTCTGATTTGATATTCATTTAATTTCTTGTATAAGGATATGAAAATTGCGATGTGAACATCATATGTCATATGTAATAAATAGTTCTTCCATTTCATTTTTTTTTCCTAACGGACAGGTGCGAGAATTTCAAGGAGTTAACGATCGGTACTGAGTCAGATCCGAGTATGTGTGAAAAATGTAACATATAAAAAGAACTCTCTTTGTTGTCTCAATATTATAAAGTTTTGAAAGTTGAAATGAGTCATCATCGTGAACTCGTGCGTACTATTTGTGGGTAGAGTGACAATATTTATGTTTCAAAAAGGAAAAAAGTTGAACGGTGAAGTTATTTATTTTTCTGATAATTCTCACACAATCATAAAGAATAAATCCGGGACAATACTTATTGAACGAAAAAAAGACTTATTTTGTCCTTGTCCTTTTGGTCAAAAAATCAAATCTTGATTGAAAATTTTTCATTTTTTATTTAAAAAGTATTATTCTATTCATTAAAAAAAAAGAAAAAAAAAAGATTGGTCCCATTTACTTGTGGTAATAAAAATAAAACTTTTTGACGTTATTTACCTTTCAATGTTTTGAACTAAATATTCACCAACTATAATAATTTTTTTATATACATATATATTATAGTGTTATATGCATAAAGATCAAGATATGATTGATTTTTTTGATAAAATAAGATAATTTTTCTCTTAGTAACACATTTTAGGGAAATGTTTTAAAAATTCGTGAAAATCATGCATATTATTATCGAAACAAATTTACGATCAAAAAAAGAAAATAATTCGCATATAGCCGAAAATGCATTCATGTTTAGAGATGATGTCAAAAATAAAAAAAAAAAGGGTTCAAAAATCATGAGCTTCAAAAATCATGAGCTTTTTTCGGCTTATGAAAAAAAGAGATGATCACACTACGAAAAATAATAATCTTTTGTTGTCATTTGTGTAATATAAAATTACTTTTGCCAAGAAGTTTCACGAAATTCACATGATTTATTACAGTAAAAAAAATTTTAAATGGTCATTGATATATTTTCATCGAATAAAAAAAAAAGATCAATATTGTGTAAAAAAAATTTATCACTTTTATTGGGTAGATTTTGTCTAAATAATATTTTTAATTTTTGAACATAATTTGGGCAATTAATAAATATCCACGTTATCGTGACTAAACGTCAACACATGACTGACTGTGCCATATGATACCGTCATTGATAAATTGATAATCCCATAATTTTATAAAATGACCAGAATGGATATAAAATGATCACCAAAACTCGAAACCGAGATTCCCTATCCTCTCTTGCCTATTGGCTAAGATCAAGTGTAGTATCTGTTCTTTTCAGTCTAATATCTGAAACGTTGCACACTGTGCAACTATGATATTAAACGAATTTTTGTCATTAGGAATTGAGTCACTGGGCTTGCCTATACTCTTTTCCGGAGTGTCCCTAGTATTGCAGTATATCTAGGTGACGCTCACATTCAGAATTAATAGCGGGCTGGGAATCGGGATTTTAGTGGGTTGTGAAAAAAAAATTTTTTGATCACCAGTTCAAGTTTTGTCACGTGAATAATGTAGTAAATGTCTTGACATATTATTATTTTAATGATTGTGGCGGATTGTTAAAAAAAATTTTTTTTTAAGGCGCATTATTGTATCACGTTAAAATTCATTTTAAAATACTAGGTAGAACAAACATTTCACTTTTTTATGATAATTTTTTTTTTGTGGTAAATAAAAAAATGTTTTTTAAATGAAAATCATCCCAGTTTTATTCTTATTATAAAATAAAAAATTCGAAAATTTTTTGAAATAGGAAACTGACTGATATGTGGAAGGCCATTTGAAATTGGATAAAAACTATTTTTATTTTGAAATTTTTTAAAAAATGGAAAAAAAGTCGTAATATTTGGGTTATTTTTAATGGTTTAAAGCCATTTGTGACCGTGTTCATGTCGTATTACTCGGTAACAAAAACCAAATAAACCTCTATTTTTGTAGCGCATTGTTTAAAACTAATTATTATTGTCATGGATTGAATAATTTCAAGCCTCTTGAATGGTGTGCATGTAAAATAGGAAAGAAATATATTATTTTACCATTATTAAAAAAGGAACAAAGGCGGTTTTTTTACTCCACTAAATTTGTATGATAAATAAAGATATATTAGTCACTTTTAAGTACGACGGTTCCTTTATACTCTTGTTATATAGAATTTTTCAGGACCAAAAATTTAAAGATTCAAGAAATTCATTTCTAATATCACATTTGAGTGAGATATATGCTACTTTTCATATTTTTGATAATATAGTTAGAACGTATTATGACATGATTTATGGTATAACAAATCTAGACGCCTTCTTTATCATAATGGAAAATTCTTTTTTTAATTTTACCATTACACTGTAAATATAAAAGGAACAAAGGCGGCAAATGTTTCAAAGTTTTTTTTTCAATTACCCCACAAACCCATGACAAACTTTGGAAAAAAAGCGTCCAATTTGATTATCTTACAGTAAATTTATAAATATTTTAAAGTTATTGTTGTTGGTTTCTTTATTCTGAATTAATGTGTAAGGAGGAAATGCTTCAAATTATTTTTTAAAAAAATCATTTCGTTCGTCAAAATTGAGATTTTCGGTTACTAGATTTTCTGTATTCATGATTGCATCACTTGTAACAAATAAACAAACCTTTTTCCATGGAAATACCCATTCTTTTTATGGGGTCATATTATAAAATCTGCAGTGTCCCCAAATATAAGCTTAAATAGACAAATGACAAAAATGAAAAAAAAAATAATGTGGCGAGTAATTTCAAACGTTTTTTTAAGCCCGTTATGACTTGGTTACTCAGGCTACATTTGCAAAATTAGGAAATTTATAAGACGGGATCTTATGAATTTGGAAAAAAATCTAATTTTGATAAGCCTCTTTTTTCAAATAATTTTTTTTTTTCATTGTGATAATTATTTCAAATTTCACAAATTTAGATGATCGATTTGGAAAAGAAGCGTCAAATATCAATAGAATGAAAATGCATTGTTTTGTTCCAAACAAATAAAATTGATATTTTGTATACTTTTGAATGTTATAAGAAACAGTATTGATTTCTGAGTGGAATTCCAATATTTCCAATAAATAAATAAATAAATAATAAATACTGTAATTACAATTAACAAAAAAATACAGTATATGAATTATCTTATCTCAATTCAGATTGATCTTTTTATCCAATCAGTTTTCATTTGATAAATGACATTATTAACGTTGGGCATCTACCGTAAGTGAAAAAAGGGGGGTTTTGGTCGTGCATAAATGTCCCTTGTTTTTTTCGACTTATAATGAAGTAATGCTTGAATATTATTTTTTTGAAAAAAAGGATTTTCTGCAAATTGCACAAAAAAAAAAAAAAAAAAAAAAACAAAGCGAACAAAAAGGTTGGTTATAAAAAATATAATTGGATAATATAAATAAAAAATAAAAAAAAATTGTACAATAAAAATTTTTTTTTTTATGTTGTAAATATGCATATATTCAAAATTTTTTGTATATAAACATAACAATATTCTCCTTCGTTTTTTTGTTTTTTTTTCTTTTATTATTACTAACTTCATTTACAAAAAAAAATAATCAAAATCAAAATCGTTGAAAAAAATTATTTTTTCGAATTAAACCTTTTTTATCTTCTTTCAAAAACAACCCTCAACATTTATCATTAAAACATTGCAGGCGTCATAACATCTAGATTTCATCGCATTTTACCATCACATTTTTTTTTTTGCTTCGCAATAAATAGCATTTACCCACAAATTTTTATTTTACTTCACAACAACATTTGTTTCATCACATTTATTATCTATTTCAATTTCCACCTTTTACCCTCTACTTTCATTGTCGACATCTCCTCGCTTTTAATCATGGTCATTAAATCAAAGAGATCAAACATTTCCACTTCAATTCCCACAACAATGTTATCAAAACCGTCACTATCATTAAAAATCTTCCCAACTGAACTTTTATTAATCACTTTTCAAAACCTTGACATACCAACATTATTAAAGATTTGTAACGTGTGTAAACGTTTCTTGCAAATCGGTACAATGGTTTTATCAAAAAAATTTAAAGATCCAAATATTGGATTGATGTTAACATTTGAACAAGAGCATAAATGGAGGTTTAATGTACAATTTGAATTTAGCAAATTTAATGAGCAAAACGGGAATTTTATTTTTAAACCTATAAAATTACAATCGACCATGAGATTTATTCACTCATCGGTGGTTCGAAATCCTGTGTTAAGTAAAGTTGCCATTACTGGTATAAAATGTTCAAATAATGATGGAAAAGTTTGCAATGAAATCCGCGTTCCTTTTTCACCAACAAATGTGACAAATCAAAACAATCACTTGACAACTTTACCACAACCTCCTGCATCTCTTTCATCCCCTTCCCCCACTCCTTCTAACCCCACAATTAAATCACAGAAACTTGAAGAAAATTTCTTGCAAAAATCTTTGCCTCTTGGAATAAAATCACATAAAGATGTTTTAAAAAAGACTCAACATGTTTATCGTATGGGTCATGGCACCACTCACTTGAGAATCCCTTATACATTTTCATATTCGGTAGCCGACAAACCTCCGCCTCCAATGCAAAAAACTCGCGGTGGTGAACGTTGGTTGACTCCACTAAATTTTGAATGTTCTCCAAGCTTTTTTTACCCACATGAGCCAACCGCCCATAAAATAATTATGACTATCATCCATCTAAGAAAAAAGAATTTACTTAAGAAAAAACCATTATCCTCAACACAAATTTCAAATAACAATTATAAGCAAAAACAAAAGGCGATTGGTACTGAAATAGAAGAAGGTTTTATCTCAATCGATATTGACACAGGCTATCATGAGATTCAAAATCCTAAAGCTTACAAACTATTTTTTGAAAAACAAATGAATCTACAAGATAAATTAAAACCTTCAAGACGTTGGGTTCGTGGTGCCAGACATTAAAAATCCCCCCATATTTTTTTTATTTTATTTTTGTACATATGAAATAGACATTATTATATAGATTATATAGATCTTTTATGTAGCATATTTTTAATATTCCAAAGCATTTCGAATAATTCGAATTAATTAATTTATTTTATGCCATTTTTAGTTTTTTCTTTTTTTCTTTTAACACATTAATTGTATATAATTATTATTCATCCAATTATTAATATATTTTCAATAATAAAATGTTTTATGCAAAAAAAATATACCCACGATAACAAAATTGATTCCTGAGAAAATTTATTGTAATTTAACTCTTTTAAGAATTCTCATGATATTAACTAATCCAATTTTCTTGGCAAAGATAAAAGATTGACTTGTGATGTCGATTAATTTTTTGTTGTACCAATGACGTTTCAACAAGTAAATATATATTTATTCCTAAATGGAATAATTAAAAAAAATTATTCTTACAACATTTCGTTATGAATTTGAAAATATACCGTTTCACCAATCAACTGTATTTGCCAATTGCGAAAAAACGAATTTTTTTTTTTTCAATAATTAGGTTTATGGGGAAATCGCTTTGCATGATCGATTTTTTCAATTGAATCCTCATCCCTCTAAACAATAGAACTTTTATAGGTTTCGGGAAAGGGTTTTTATTTTAATTACTATACTAAGAAAATGATCATCTAATTTCACTGAGTCAATATATATACACGTGGAAATAAGCACTTCTCCCTAACTCCCAATCCTGTTCTATTAATTCGTATGGGCATAAGATCCGTATCAATTTACTTATTTCATCATAAATTTTTAACCAATAACTTTTTATAGATAGAAAAAAGGAGTGTAACTTTTAATAATTCTTAATTGAATTTCTAAAACTAATTTAAATCTTTGATAACCAATTGTAATTATTTTTAATTGATAATTAATAAATAATAATTTTTTATATTTATAAATTTAAATTTTTATAAATATTTTTGTAATTTAGTAATGAGTAATATAAACAAAACATAATTATTTTTATAATTTTTAATTTTATAAATATATGTAAAATATTTTATAAAACAATTAATATATAGATACTTTACTATAGTAAAATATAAAACTTATAAAAAAATCATATTTAACATATCAGTAGAAAAGGAAAAAAACCAAAATTTTTATTAATTTTAATTATTAAGTGCATATAATCAAGATCAGCCAAGTAGTCTAATAATATAAATTTTGACCAAAATTTGGATTCTATTAACTGCCTTTTATATGAATACTTTGTAATAGAAAAATAAAAATTAATAAAAAAATTTTTTTTGAATTAATGATAATTAGAACTTATTTTACTAAAAATAATCATATTTAACTAATTTTTTTATAATTTTCTTGATTTCTAACTATAAAGTTTTTATATAAATATAATTTAAATTTTTTGTAATTTTAAATTTTTTTATTATAAAACACACTATATAATTTTATCTTATAGAATTTAATTATTACAATTAAAATAAAATATATATTTTAATATATTTTATTTAAAAAACTTAAAACTTTATATATTTTTATAATAAATTTATTTATCTAAAATTTTATAAAATTAAGCAAAATTTTTTTGACATATATATTATAATATATATATATTAAAAATATTTTTTAATATAGTTTACTATTTATTATCAGTGGTGATTATTACCAGTATTAAATTAACCAAAAGTAATTAAATTTTTTTATTATCTCATGTGATTGGTGATATTTAGTAGGGGTGAAACGAAATATTTTTTAGTAGTGAAAAATTCTAAGTTTCTAGAATACATAATAAAAATAAAAATAGAAAGACGTGATACAGAATAACAAATAATATATGCAATATAAATATATAAAAAAATATGAAGTAGAGTCAATTTGGGGGTTCTGGGGTAAAATCAAAACAATACCCAAAATAGATCTCCAAGCCTTTTTCCAATCAATTTTAGCTATATGAATCAACTATAAAATTAAAGCTTCTAGCCAATTTTAACTCAATTCTAGATGATGTTATCGAACTTGACTAGGAATTAGCCTGTCTGATA